TGTTTTAGTTTCTGTTGTGTTTTTGACTGTTTGTCTCCATCTAGTGTCTGAATAATACGCAGGTTAGTGTATACTCCATCAGCTGTTTTCGTTTCCATCAGCTTTGTATTTTTGACTGTTTGTCTCCATCTAGTGTCTGAATAATGTGCAGGTTAGTGTATACTCCATCAGCTGTTTTAGTTTCTGTTGTGTTTTTGACTGTTTGTCTCCATCTAGTGTCTGAATAATACGCAGGTTAGTGTATACTCCATCAGCTGTTTTAGTTTCTGTTGTATTTTTGACTGTTTGTCTCCATCTTGTGTCTGAATAATGCACAGGTTAGTGTATACTCCATCAGCTGTTTTCATTTCCATCAGCTTTGTATTTTTGACTGTTTGTCTCCATCTAGTGTATGAATAATGTGCAGGTTAGTGTATACTCCATCAGCTGTTTTAGTTTCTGTTATGTTTTTGACTGTTTGTCTCCATCTTGTGTCTGAATAATGCGCAGGTTAGTGTATACTCCATCAGCTGTTTTAGTTTCTGTTATGTTTTTGACTGTTTGTCTCCATCTTGTGTCTGAATAATGCGCAGGTTAGTGTATACTCCATCAGCTGTTTTAGTTTCTGTTATGTTTTTGACTGTTTGTCTCCATCTTGTGTCTGAATAATGTGCGGGTTAGTGTATACTCCATCAGCTGTTTTAGTTTCTGTTATGTTTTTGACTGTTTGTCTCCATCTTGTGTCTGAATAATGCGCAGGTTAGTGTATACTCCATCAGCTGTTTTCATTTCCATCAGCTTTGTATTTTTGACTGTTTGTCTCCATCTTGTGTCTGAATAATGTGCAGGTTAGTGTATACTCCATCAGCTGTTTTAGTTTCTGTTATGTTTTTGACTGTTTGTCTCCATCTTGTGTCTGAATAATGTGCGGGTTAGTGTATACTCCATCAGCTGTTTTAGTTTCTGTTATGTTTTTGACTGTTTGTCTCCATCTTGTGTCTGAATAATGCACAGGTTAGTGTATACTCCATCAGCTGTTTTCATTTCCATCAGCTTTGTATTTTTGACTGTTTGTCTCCATCTTGTGTCTGAATAATGTGCAGGTTAGTGTATACTCCATCAGCTGTTTTCATTTCCATCAGCTTTGTATTTTTGACTGTTTGTCTCCATCTAGTGTCTGAATAATGTGCAGGTTAGTGTATACTCCATCAGCTGTTTTAGTTTCTGTTATGTTTTTGACTGTTTGTCTCCATCTTGTGTCTGAATAATGCGCAGGTTAGTGTATACTCCATCAGCTGTTTTAGTTTCTGTTATGTTTTTGACTGTTTGTCTCCATCTTGTGTCTGAATAATGTGCGGGTTAGTGTATACTCCATCAGCTGTTTTAGTTTCTGTTATGTTTTTGACTGTTTGTCTCCATCTTGTGTCTGAATAATGCACAGGTTAGTGTATACTCCATCAGCTGTTTTCATTTCCATCAGCTTTGTATTTTTGACTGTTTGTCTCCATCTTGTGTCTGAATAATGTGCAGGTTAGTGTATACTCCATCAGCTGTTTTAGTTTCTGTTATGTTTTTGACTGTTTGTCTCCATCTTGTGTCTGAATAATGTGCAGGTTAGTGTATACTCCATCAGCTGTTTCTGTTGTGTTTTTGACTGTTTGTCTCCATCTAGTGTCTGAATAATGCACAGGTTAGTGTATACTCCATCAGCTGTTTTCATTTCCATCAGCTTTGTATTTTTGACTGTTTGTCTCCATCTTGTGTCTGAATAATGTGCAGGTTAGTGTATACTCCATCAGCTGTTTTCATTTCCATCAGCTTTGTATTTTTGACTGTTTGTCTCCATCTAGTGTCTGAATAATGCGCAGGTTAGTGTATACTCCATCAGCTGTTTTAGTTTCTGTTATGTTTTTGACTGTTTGTCTCCATCTTGTGTCTGAATAATGTGCGGGTTAGTGTATACTCCATCAGCTGTTTTTTTTTTAGCTTTGTGTTTAACCCCTGGAGGTACATTCTTGCTTATTACGCTTATTAACTTATTACTATTGCAGAAAAAAAAACTGAGCATCAACTGAACGCAGCCAACACCATCTTACCTATTATTAATATGAGGTCTCAAGATAGCACCAAACAGTCCAGAGCAGTGGAGTGAAAGATATGCATATATGCATATGAACATGGCACAACAACTGCCAGGATGATTGGTAGCCAGATGAGCCTGCGCTATTAGTTTAATTCATAGTTATCTAAGAATTGCTCTCTGAGAATATCATAATTGGCCTAGGAACCAAGGAATCCTGAGAGCCAAAGTGCATTCATTTAATACGTGTGCGGAGTTGTTGACGTGAAAGTGGTTTTCTTTTTTTTTTTTTTTTTTATCAAAATATTATGTACTGCAATCAGACGATTCATTGTTTACATGTTCAGATCCAGTCATCGCTTATATATAAGCTGATATTTGAATTTAAATCGGTCAGTTGCATAAAATACTGTGTCATATGCATGATTCATTGTTTGTTAGAAACCATGAGTTAAACCTGAACAGATGTGTGTGTGTGTCTCACGAATGAACTCAGCCGCTCGTTTAAATAACCGATTTTTTATACCTTTAAAGGCACCAGTTTTATAACAAACTTTTTGTATCTTCAATTTCATGAAAAGTTCTCATTTAATATTCAAAAGTGGCGTTATCTGGCTAAAAAGCCAGGCTGATTTTATTTTAAATTGTGTTGATCTTTAAGAGGTGGGCATTTTTGATATTCTGTTTTACCACTTCATCTGAAAATACTGCCAACAACTGGAAAAACATACAATTTAAGCATGCAGTAATAATATGAATAAGTCAGATGAATGATATATGAACAAGTCTTCAGAATGTACACAAAAAACAAAGTACAATTTGCTTTGTTATAAGAATGTGAAAAAGTTTGCTCTATACTGTAGATTGTGTATGCACTCAGAATTAGGGCTGCGCAAAAATATCGATATATCGAACTATCGCAATAATTTCTTTCACGATAGTATATCGATAGTTCAACCTGAAGTATCGATTCAAGTTGTGCCAAACAACCTCCTCCTTTGCTCTAGTAGATGTCGCTAACTCGCTACCAACAAAACGCTAAATAGTACGGTATCAGAAGCAAGCAAAGTGAGCATAGTGGAAAGCTTCCGTCTGCCTTAACATTGCAGGGTTACTGAAAACTGCATAGGAGGAAGGGGACATCAAATGGAAGGACCTGTCGTTGTAACAGACACCGCGTCAAACATGATCATGGCAGCACAGCTGGCCTGCATGTTGCGTGTAAAATGTTTTGTGCATGCCATCAATTTACCTATGTGCGACCAGTTTTCACAGCAAAATGTTCACGATGCTGTCAGTCGCACTGTCAGTTTCTAATGCTGCGTTTACACCAGACGCGGCACACGCGTCAAGCGCGAGTGATTTACATGTTAAGTCAATGCAAACGCGCGAATAGACATCCTGCGGCGCAATACGCGCGGCGCGAATGACGCAAATTGCGTGAATGGCGCGGGGCGAATTGAGCGTTTTGCACGTATCTCTCGAATTCGAAAATCTGAACTTCAGCGTACATTAGCACTGCGTTAACCAATCAGAAGCTTGCTCTTGTGGGGGCGTGATTGTGACGTAGCACCTGTTGTCGCTGTTCCGAGGGAAATCCTTCAGCCTTCACCGACAACAGTTCATCAAACTCGGCTTGGCTCAGTCAGAAGCACCGCTGTAAGCCTCCGTCATCCAGGTTAAGTTTCTACCCTAAACGTATCGATGCTGTTTTTCAGTCTTTATAAAGCACATAAACACTTATTTTCTTCATAAAATCCATGTTAGCCATTTAGCTATGAAGCTAGAGTCTTCGGGCAGACAGAAGTGAATTTGACACGCGAATGAAGCGTGGTTTGACGCGCGTATGAAGCGAGTAACCTTAAATGTTCACATGGCTATTTACGCGCAAATAGCGCGATTTATCCGCGCGTTCCGCGTCTGGTGTGAACACAGCATAATAGTTTACCGCATATTAGAGCACTGTGCTCTAGTTTTATGTTTACTTGATGCATTTATATTTTATTTACTTGCTTTAGGTTTATAAATTATTTCATTTATATGTGACTTTAGTCAATATGCATTTTAATAACAAATATGCATTAATAACAATATGCATTTCATGCAGTTCAGTGAGTTCTCTGTTCGATAACACTGTGCAGTTCTAATGAATTGAAATAGATAGAAAATAAATTGGAATTGGAATTTTAATTCGTCTGCTGACTTTATCAAGTTGTCAATATAACGTGACACACATAATACAAACTATTGCAATATATCACAATATTTATTGTATTATATCGGGATATATTGTATCGTGACCCATGTATCGCGATATGTATCATATCGTGAGGCCCTTGCCAAAACACAGCCCTACTCAGGGCCGGCGCATCCATAGAGGCGACCTAGGCGGCCGCCTAGGGCGGCAGTATTGAGAGGGCGGCGTCCGCCACACTCCCCTTACCACCCACGTCCTAACTCCTCAGTTATGTCCGCGACACTTCCCTCACCACCCGCATTCTCAGATATATTCGCACATAGGCGACAGAATAGAGAGGGCAGCGTCAGTGAGCGACACCTCCATCAGCGCCCACTTGTCCTCAGTTATATCCACGCATAGGGCGGCATAATAGAGGTCCTCGACACCCGCGCATCCTCAGTTGTTTCCGCGCATAGGGCGGCAGAATAGAGAGAGCAGTGTCTGCGACACCTCCCTCCCTCAGCATCCGCGCGTCCTCAGTTATTTCCGTGCATAGGGCGGCAGAATAGAGGTCCGCGACACCTCACTTCATTGTCATAAGCGGTCACTTTCGTTTTCACATTGGGGTTGAGGGCGGCGTGATCGTCCTCTGCCTAGAGCGGCAGTTCAGCTTGCTCCGGCCCTGCCCTTCTCAGAATATATATGAATTTTTGTATATAGTCATTTTTGTTTGTAATCAGACTAGACTTTTCCTCTGAACAGGAACGCCAGTCCTATCGGGATCGTCCTGACTGCAGTGGTGGCTTTGTCTTACAAAGTAGCGATCGCATATGAGGGGTGAGTGCATTATTATCAGCCTTCATTCATTTTTCATCTGTATAATGGTGATTGTCGAATTGTTCACGATTGCGGGAAGGATGGAGCGTGAGATTGACAGGCGGATTGGTGCAGCGGCAGCTGTAATGCGGTCGATGTATCGTTCTGTTGTGGTGCAGAAGGAGCCCAAAGACAAAGCTCTCGATTTACTGATCAATCTACAGTCCTACTCTCTCCTATGATCATGAGCTTTGAAAGGACAAGATCTCAGATACAAACAGCCGAATTGAGTTTCTTTCACAGGGTGGCAGGGCGTATCCTTAGAAAGGGACTGGAGCTCTGTCACCCAGAAGGAGCTCAGAGTAGAGCCGCTGCTCCTCCACATCCAGAGAAGTCAGCTGAGGTGGCTCGGGTATCTGTTTCAGATGCCTTCTTGACGCCTACCTAGGGAGGTGTTCCAGGCATGTCCCACCGGGAGGAGGCCCCGGGGAAGACCCAGGACACGCTGGAGGGACTATGTCTCTCTGCTGGCCTGGGAACGCCTTGGGATGCCCCCGGAGGAGCTGGAGGAAGTGTCTGAGGAACTGAGGGAAGTCTGGGGTTTTCTCTTAAGACTCCTGCCCCCACAATTTATAACAGGGGTTTATTCTGGAGACAATCCAAAACTAATATTGCTGAAGGGGTGAATTATATTGACCTTCAAATGGCTTTAAAACTATTAGGAACTGCTTTTATTCTAGCCGAAATTAAACAAATAAGACTTTCTCCAGAAGAACAAATATTGGAGGAAATACTGTGAACAACTCCTGAATCTGTTCAACATCATTTGGGAAATATTTGTGACAGGAGGAAGAATAATTCTGACTTCATCTGTTTATTGAATTATTGAATATCGAATGTCTTTTCTCTGATGGTCTGCGGTCGCCATAGAGACGGTGAATGTGTGAGTGTCAGACTCAGATTTATTTCCGTCTCGGCTGGAGGAAAGTTGGCAGGTTTTCAGCGTAACCTTTTCGTAGAAGAGCTGACCTTTACTTGCGTCTCAGACTCACAGCCGACGTCTTCTGCGTCTCAGAAGAAGAAAAAAGATCCAGAAATATGAGTGTGTCAGTAGCACACCTTTCACACAGTATCCTAACAACACCCGACGTGACAAGAAATGTATCCGTCTGCACTAAAAACCAAGCGACATTATTTAATTTCATTGACAGTTAGTTGTCTCATCAATGCGTAAGGCCTTATTTCTGCTCTATTTGTGTAAAGCATCACGCACACACACACACACACACAATTACACACACACAAACACACACACAGGTGTCAGGCACAGGCTGGTACACTCTTTACAATGTGTGTTTTTGCTCACCTTGTCATGTTTGCAGACCGTTCACACAGGAGATCTACAGGCAGAGGAGTCAACGCTGCAAACACAAATGAAGACCAGTAGAAGACCAGCAGAAAAGACCAGAAGAAGACCAGTATACACCAATGCAGACGCCTGACGCTTGTAAATTGCTGATGTACAAATAGAAGATATAGTTAAAGGGACAGTCCACCCAAAAATGTAAATTCTGTCATCATTTACTCATCCTTTACTTGTTACAAACCTGTCTTGAGTTTCTTTCATCTGTTAAACACAGACTTAAAGGGGCAGTTCATACAAAAATGTAAATAAGCTCACTGTTTACTCTCCATCAAGTGTTTCTAAACCTATAAGGGTGTCATTCTTCTGTTGAACACTAAAGAAGATATTTTGAAGAATGCTGAAAACCTGTAACCATTGACTTCTGTAGTACGAAAATAAATAGTATGGAAGTTAATGGTTACCGGTTTCCAACATTCTTCAAAATATCTTCTTTAGAGAAGAAACTCTTAATGGTTTAGAAACAAGAACAGGGTGAGTATTTTGATCAGAATTTTCATTTTTGGGTGAACTGTCCTTTTAAGCAATTCACTGCTCTTAATACCTTCATTGAACATGTGTATTATAAACACTGACATCCTTTTTTAAAAAATGTACACTATATATATTTTATAACTGCAGGTTAAATGTATATATACTGTGCGCCCTATATACTCAACACCTTAAGGGGACAGTTCACCCCAAAAAACTAAAAATTCTGTCATCATTTACTCTCATTTTACTTGTTTCAAATCTTCATGACTTTCTTCATTCTGCTGAACACAAAAGAAGATATTTTGAAGAATGCTGAAAACCTGTAACCATTGACTTGCATAGTAGGAAAAATGTATAGTATGGTAGTCAGTGGTTTTGTTGAACACTAAAGAAGATATTTTGGAAAAAACCCGGTAAACACTGACTTCCATAGTATTTATTTTATAATGGAAGTCAATGGTTACAGGTTTCCGACATACTTTAGAATATCTTCTTTAGTGTTTAGTAGAAGAAAGAAACTTATAAAGGTTTGACTTCCGTTGTAAAAAAAAAAAAATACCATGAAGGTCTGTGATTACAGGTTTCCAGATTTCTTCATAATATCCTCTTTTTAAATAATGGTAAAAACCGGTAACCATTGACTTCTATTATATTTGTTTTTCCTACAATGGAAGACAATGGTTTTCAACATTCTTCAAACCATCTTCTTTTGTTTTCGACAGAAATAAAGGCACTCATAAAAGTGTATATCTACCTAAGTGAGAGTAAATAGTGAGCAAATTCTTATTTTTGGGTGAACTACCCCTTTAAATCATTCTGTTTGTAATGTAATTGAAGATATACTGAAAGAAAAACCCATTGAGTTCAATAGTATTTTCTTTTTCTACTATGAATGTAAATAGTTACCGGTTTCCAACATTCTTCAGAGTATCTTCTTTTGTGTTCAATTGAAAAAAGAAACTCAGACAGGTTTTAAGCAGTGAGTAAATGATCATTGTTTTTTGGGGTGTACTGTTCCTTTAAGAGCACAGATGTAAACTGCACACAGATGATGCGACGGTTAAAACTGTGAATGCAATGACAATCTTCAACTGTAACAATCCAATATTCAGCGTTTCCTAATCTGTAGTCTGATCTTTATTGACTTTACATATGATTCATGACCATAAAAGATCTCCTCAGTTCATTCCTAATGCACGTCCAGGCTTTAGGCTCCATTTGTTTCATGTTCACTCGATGTTCTTTGCTCTTTTATTTGAGTTTTTCTTTCCGTAGGTTAAATAAATGGACATGTCCTGTTCGTTCACTATGTACATAGTCGTTCTTTTTCCTTTTCCCTCTTACTGTAATGGAAATTGTGCTTGTTTTTTCAGCTGAACACTTTAGATATGATTCATGACTTAAAGCGACTCTGAGAAATTAAGTTAATTTTGCTGTAATTTCATGACACGTTTGCATGTCCACTGTGTGCTTTTTATTTTTTTTATTGTAAAGTGAACACAAACCTCTTTTATTTTTAAATCTCTTTAATGAGTGTTCCAGCCCCCATTAAATATGCACTGCTGCTTATTATTATTATTATTATTATTATTATTGTTGTTGTTGTTGTTGTTATTGTTGTTGTTGTTATTATTATTATTATTATTATTAAAATTAATTTTTAAAAATAATAAAAGGGTTATTTTGTTGACAAAACTAAAGGGTTTAATTTTATTATAACAAAATTTTTACATAATATATAATTTTAATATTTTTAATATTATTTTTATTTTATTTTAACCACTTTAGTTGTGCTTAAATAACCCTGATATATTTTAATTTAGTTTAGTTTATTATTTTTTTAATTTAGTTAATAAAAAAAATTGAATTTAATTGAATTTTTATTTTTACCACTTTGGTTGTGCTTAAATAACCTTGATATATATTTTAATTTAATTTAATTTATCCACTTTATCTTTTTAACTTAAAAAACCCTTTAAATTAATTTAAATTTTATTTATTTATTTTTTATTTTATTTTACCAATTTAGTTGTGCATAAATAACCCTGATTTATATTTTATTTAATTTAGTTTATCCACTTTAATTTTGTGGACAAAAAACCCTTTAACTAAATTAGATTTGATTTTATTTAATTTTACCACTTTAGTTTTGCTAAATTAATCCGCATATATTTTAATTATTAATTAATTTTGTTATTAATTTAATTAATTCACTTTAATTTTGAAAACTAAACTAAAGAAAACTTTTATTGAATTTTAATTTTATTTTAATTTATTAAATCACTTTAATTTTTTCTAAAATAACCCTAATATATTTTAATTTTACTTTATTTAATTTATCCACTTTAGTTTTGTTAACTTAAATAACCATTTAATATTATTTTATTTAATAAATTTAATTTTATTAACTAAAACAATCCTTTAATTGAATTTTATTTAATTTTATTTTATTTAACCACTTTAGGTTTGCTAAAATAACCCCTTAATTGAATTTTTTGTTTAATTTATTTTACCACTTTAGTTGTGCTTAAATAACCCAGATATTTTAATTTAATTTAATTTAATTTATCCACTTTAATTTTGTTAACTAAAAAAAAACTTTAATTGAATTTTAATTGAATTTTATTTTATTTTATTAAAAAAAAAACAATTACCACTTTAGTTCTGCTAAAATAACCCTGATATATTTTAATTTAAGGTAATTTATCCACTTTCATTTTGTTAGCTAAAATAACAATTTAATTTTATTTAAAATTAAACTTTTTTATCACTTAATTTCAGATTGTAGCCAAGAAAATATATTAAAAACAAACATAAATCTAAATAGGTATAAATAAATCTGATCAATTTATTGTATTATTATTTTTATAATAATAATATTAAATACTTTATTATTATCTCGTCAGCTTCTACAACTCAGAAATCAGAAAAGTGTTTATGTGGTAAAAGCATTCTCCCAATGTGTCAATATACTGAGAACAGATTTATTTTTACATTTACATCTGATAAACTTGAGTTTTCATGTCCAAAACAATAAATATGACGTCTCCATAATTCTGTTTACACTTCTACCAGGAACCAGTTTACATTATAAACAATTCACACTGAAATCAATTCAGCCTGTGTTGCAAGAATTGTTTATAAGCAACTTCATAATGGAGAATTTGGATACATCCAAAATAGCATAATAAGATGTAAATCCTGGGCCAGCATCTTAACTAGTCAATCCCTGACCTCTTGACCTGGTCAGCGCTCTTCAGTTGTGTAAAAACAGACTCTCAAAGGTTGCTTTTTAAGACAGAGGACATCAGCTCGTTAGCTGAAATTTGCTGATCTTTTGTCTTCTAACAGATCCAATCAACAGTGTTGAACATCTCTGACGTCAGGCTGTATCTCTACAGGAGTATAATACACATTCCGGCGTTGCACAATCCAGACTAGACTGTGTTTTGAAGATGAACTAATCAATCCATTTATTTGCGCAGCGTGCCGATAAATTACTTTGAGGATGTCTTGTTTTATAAAGTGGAAAGGAGGGGATCGGTTTGCGTGCGCTGATATTTACTGTTGTTATTCTCAGGTTTCCTGCCAAACCTGCTCTGGATTGTGTGTGTTTTAGGTTCTTGTTATGAAGCGGATTGGAGACGCACACAGATTTCCTGCTTTAATTTATGCTGCGAACACATTCTCTTCCTCTGTCCTGCTCAGTAATGTTTGACCTGTGAGGTGTGTCTGGTCATTATTCAGATGTAGATTCTGCAGAGCAGTTTCCTGTGCTGCTCAATATCCAACAACACTGCTGGATCAGCCGTATTTCACTCGTTAGGTTAAAAAAAAAAAAAAAAAAAGAGTTCAAATGGCCAAATTTTACAAGATAAAGCCTTTTATAAAGTTAAAATAAAGTAGTGCTGTCAAAAAAAAAAAGAATCGTGATGTATATTACACATACATACACCAACCGGCCACTTTATTAGGTACACCTTACTAGTACTGAGTTGGTACTTAATCCTTCGTGGCAGAGATTCAACAAGCTACTGGAAATATTCCTCAGAGATTTTGCTCCATGATAGCATCACACAGTTGCTGCAGATTTGTCGGCTACACATTCATGATGCCAATCTCCCGTTCCACCACATCCCAAAGCTGCTCTATTGGATTGAGCTCTGGTGACTGTGGAGGCCATTTGAGTACAGTGAACTCATCGTCATGTTCAAGAAACCAGTCTGAGATGATTGAGCTTTATGACATGCTGCGTTATCCTGCTGGAAGTAGCCATCAGAAGATGGAGACACTGTGCTCATAAAGGGATGGACATGGTCAGCAGCAATACTCAGGTAGGCTGTGGCGTTGATGCTCAATTGGTACTAATGGACCCAAAGAAAATCTCCCCCACACCATTACACCACCACCACCAGCCTGAACCGCTGACACAAGGCAGGATGATCCATGCTTTCATGCCAAATTGTGAGCCGAGCATCTGAATGTGTCAGCAGAAATGGAGACTCATCAGAGCAGCAACGTTTCTCCAATCTTCTATTGTCCAGTTTTGGTGAGCCTGTGTGAATTGTAGCCTCAGTTTCCTGTTCTTAGCTGACAGGAGCGGCACCCGGTGTGCTCTTCTGCTGCTGTAGCCCATCCGCCTCAAGGTTGGACGTGTTGTGTGTTCAGAGATGCTCTTCTGCAGAGCTCGGTTGTAACGAGTGCTTATTTGAGTTGCTGTTGCCTTTCTATCAGCTGGAACCAGTCTGGCCATTCTCCTCTGACCTCTGGGATCAACAAGGCATTTGCGCCCACAGAACTGCCGCTCACTGGATATTTCCTCTTTGTCGAAGCATTCTCTGTAAACCCTAGAGATGGTTGTGCGTGAAAATCGCAGTAGATCAGCAGTTTCTGAAATACTCAGAGCAGCCCGTCTGGCAGCAACAACCATGCCACGTTCAAAGTCTCTTAAATCCCCTTTCTTCCCCATTCTGATGCTCGCTTTGAACTGCAGCAGATCGTCTTGACCATGTCTACATGCCGAAATGCACTGAGCTGCTGCCATGTGATTGGCTGATTAGAAATTTGCATTAGATAGGTGTACCTAATAAAGTGGCCAGTGAGTGTATTTAAAAATGAAATGTGATTAATTGTGAATAGTTATATAAATAGCTACAAATAAATGAAATGTACAGCATGATCTGAGAAATATTCTCTTAAATAATCCAACTTTAAATAATGCACACAGATTTATTCGTATAGCAACACTATACGTCACTCCGTTCCTTTTGTAAGAAAATAAATGAGTTTGTCTTTACATTATATCTGCAAGCGGATATTGTTAAAATAACCTTAAGACCCACGATCATTATACTTCAGTGATTACAGTTCACCTCTTTTCTCATCCTTCTCCAGAAATCAGTACAGGTAATCCAATACTTAATATACGTAATATATATATATATATAGTTGATAGCTGTCTCTGATATCTGCCGTTTTCCAGTTTGTCTTCAGCTTGTTTTTGTTTTGGATGTTTATTTAGATGAGCTCTATTTCATGACTTCAGTGACCCGCGTCCTTTAATGAACTCCTATGTATTAAATGACACCGCCGGCAGACATACAGTGCATGCATACGCAAACAAGCAGAGCTCTCTGGGTCATTAAGGCTTCGGGTTTGATTATGCAAGATTAACTTTAATTGCGGGACTCAGCTAATCATCATTATTCATTATTAATAATAATTATTCATTATTCATTATACCTCGAGAGCTCCTGACAGGTTAAATTCTTGGAGAGAGTCACTGGAAACTCGATTACGGTGCATTTGTTAATATCGCCGGCATTATGCGCTTGACCCATTTCATTTAATAACACGTAATATGATGAGTGGCCTGAGATATTTCAGGGTGGATTGTAGTCTTGAGTTGCTCTTTATTCATATCGGTTATCTTGGATTTATGATTATTGAGTAAAATGTCATTTTTGTTTTATTCTCTGAGCTACTGATGACATTTCTGTCCAGTTATACATGATTTATAGTATAGTATTTATATATAATACCCAATAGATACTGAATCTATCTATCTATCTATCTATCCATCCATCATTCTATACATCTATCCATCTGTTCATCCATCCATCCATCATTCTATCCATCCATCATTCTATCCATCTATCCATCCATCCATCCATCCATCCATCCATCATTCTATCCATCTATCCATCCATCCATCCATCCATCATTCTATCCATCTATCTATCCATCCATTCATCCATCCATCCATCCATCATTCTATCCATCTATCCATCCATCTATCCATCTATCTATCCATCCATTCATCCATCCATCTATCATTCTATCTATCTATCTATTTATCTATCTATCTATCTATCTATCTATCTATCTATCTATCTATCTATCTATCTATCTATCCATCTATCTATCTATCCATCCATCATTCTATCCATTTATCTATCTATCCATCTATCATTCTATCCATCTATCCATCCTATACATCTACTTTATCCATCCATCATTCTATCCATCTATCTGTCTATCCATCCATCCATCCATCTTTCATTCTATACATCTGTCTATCCATCCATCTATCATTCTATCTATATATCCATTTATCCGTCTATCCATCCATCCATCATTCTATCCATCTATCTATCCATCCATCCATCTATCATTCTATCTATAAATCCATTCATCCATCCATCATTCTATCCATCTGTCTATCTATCCATCCATCCATCCATCATTCTATCCATCTATCCATCCGTCCAGCCATCCATTATTCTATCCATCTATCTATCCATCCATCCATCTATCATTCTATACATCTATCCATCTATCCATCCATCCATCCATCTATCTATCCATCCATCTATCTATCTATCCATCCATCCATCTATATCCATCCATTCATTCATCCAGCTAGCTATTCTATCCATCCATCCAACGAACTATCTATCTATCTATCTATCTATCTATCTATCTATCTATCTATCTATCTATTCGTCCATCCAACGAGCTTGCTATTCCATCCATTCTTCTTTCTATCTATCCATCCATCCATCCAGCAAGCTATTCTCTCCATCCATCCATCAGCTTTAGCCCAGAATATTTTTATTTTGCTGCATCATTAATAATTCCCTAAAATTGTAGAAATCTAGAACAATTTGTTTATGTCTATACTTGTGTTCAACCTTCATTATTTTCAGTAATTCTGTCTAATATTCTGCGTATAACACCTCTTAGTAGGTCTGTATATTTATGTTTTCATCCGTTTGTATGAACTGTCTGTGAACCTTCAGAGTCTTGCTTGTAAACAGTTCATGTCTTTATTAAGGTGTGGTTGTTTTTAGAGGTTGTGCACGTGCGTGACAGAGCGCACATGGTAAAAACAGAAGCCTAAAATAACTTCAAATCCAAAAATACTACACAGAAATCGACCTCAATGCTGAGAAATGAAGCTCTTCAGTATAAATTAGAGTGTTTTTATTGATTAAGAATAATGCAGAAGATGAGCTATACATTGAGAAACAAATGCATTTCTTGTTTGGAGATTTTGTCCCGAGTCCAGTCCAAAATATCTAAAGACTCCTAAAATGGAAAGCATTTTCAAAGTAAAAAATTATTTTTTATTTTGATAAATAAGTCAAAATTAATGAGTTTTTCCTTTAAAAAAAAGCTAAATAGTCTGCTGATGGGATAAGTAAAATATCCACTATTGTTAATACACCATTGCCAGATTATTTTAGGATAAAACAAGCTTAATTTTGACTTATTATTTCTCAAAACAAGATATTAAATTTGTGTTTACTTAAACACTTCTTGGTTTAAATATTTGGGCAAGTAAGAAACACATTTTAGTGTATTTATTTTGACTTATATGCCTATGTCTCCTATGTTTTACATAACAAAGTGACTTTTATTAACGTTTTAGTCGTTTAAAATAATATAAGAAATAATATCTAGAGAAATAAGTCTGTAAAATAACAGCAAATGTACTGTCAGTTTAACTACAAGGTTTTTGCCGCGCATTATACAGCACTATGCTGTGAAAGACTCTTTAAAATATCTAACATGCACAATCACAATAAGATCAGGAATTTGAATATTCAAAACGTCTGTCCGTCAGCCAATCAGAGTGCAGCATTCTGGAGCGCGCGCGCGCTGGTATAAAAGGTCAACACTTGCGCCGCTGTGTGGAGCTCTGCGGTCGCGCGCTTCTGCTTTAGAAAACACACGCACAACATCCACTGGAGCACGGTGAACTCATTTAGGATATTTTTGTTTTCTCCTGAATCACACACCCGGATCAAATCCATTCCAGTTATCAATTCAGGAGCTGTTAAACACTAACGACTAATAACGGCGCGTCTCTTTCCGTTCCCGCGTGTAAACATTAACATTAAGCAGAAGAAGTACAACATTAACGCCATCATTACACTGCACTTTAAAGCCTTCAATTAGTTCACACAGGTTAAAGAGCATGGCAGGAATTTAGAAAACAGCGATATTGATCCTGCTGTCCTACATTTCAGCATCTTGCTACTGTGAAATGTAGTAATAATAAATAATCAAAATAAGTCTCTTATGTGTGGACAACAATAACATTACATGCAGACTAAATATTAGCATTAAACAGTGTGTGTGTGTACATAACCAAGCAATAAAATGAAACCTATATAGGCTCATGCTGAGTATTCTGTGAATTAGGAAGAGTCATGTTTTTCTTAAAGGGACAGTCCACCCTAAAATGACATTTCAGTCACTCTCAAGTGATTATAACCCTTTTTTTCTTCTGTTAAACACAAAATATGATATCTAGAGGAAGCCATTGACTTCCATAATTGGAAATAAACACTTATCTAGTAGTCAATTGTTTCAAACATTCTTTGAAATGTCTTTGTCAAACAGTTTTGCAACAGGTGAAGGGAGAGAATGATAACAGAATATTTATTTAAGTGTGGAAAATAGTCTCACTGTAAAATGTATATGATCAATTAGTCATGACAGCATATGTTTTAGGCCATTATAACTCATTAAACTAAGTAAACCATGTCCTAACTTATTTTTAAAGCTGTTTTAAGTCAGTTTAACATATAAGTTCAATAGACTCGTGACATTATTTTGATTCAGCTTAAAAATGTAGGGCAACTTGGATTTTTTGTACAGTGTATACCTTTAAAAATAATGAATGCATAATCCTTAAGTGCAAAATAGGCCAACTTTAACATGCAGATTAAGATTACACAAACAATCGACGAATAACACATACATTTTATTTCTTGCATAGCGTACACTATAAGAAATGTTGTGCTCAACGCTTCATTCATGTTGAACACCAACTTAAAAATAAAATTAAGTTGGTTGGACATAAAACAATTAAGTTGTCCCCCCAAAAGATTCAAGAATTGTATTAATTCAGCTCATTTTGATTAAGTAGTTTGAATAAGCAGCAAAAGTCATTTCTGAGTGTACACTGTAGAGAATGCTGAGTTCCACACAATCGATATGTGTTGAGAGAACATGAATAAATTAAGTTGGCTTATTACACTTTAATCTCTGCAAAGCTGTTGCAAACAATTTATTTGTGTTGAATTAAAACAAACAAACCTAATTTAGTGCTGTTCAACTTAATTTTTTGTTTAAATTCAGCCCAAATAAATAGTTTACAACCACTTAACGTAAAAAAAAAAAACTAGTGAATCCAAGGAATCATCTCTGAATCATTTTTTTCAGTAAGTTTTTATAAATTTAAGTTAATTGAATGTAAAAAAAAATTTTGTTATCCCTAAAAATCTCAAGACTTTTAGCTTATTTTAAATACATAGTTTGAACAAACAGCATCTATACACACACACGCACACACTGTAAACCCAACATTCAACTTTATCAAATGAAATCAGTGCAATTAACTCAAAATTGGCTGAAAGTTAACTCTACTTATTTGAAAAGAGTTTTGAACTCAGTGTTGATGTTAATGAGTTAATTAAATACCTCATTACTTTAACTTAAATGGAGTAAGTTCACAGTACTCATGTAGATTGATTTCTTACCTCAAATGGTTTGTAGCGATCGGTTTACTCAAACAGTTTGAGTTGCCTTAACTTATTGGGTTTGACAGTACTCAGTTGGTTTGAGTTCTCTTCATTTATTGGGATTTACTGGGCTCAAATTGCTTTATTCGCTCAAGTTCACAGTGCTTAGGATTCGTTTTTGAACTTAAATGGTTTGTTGCAATCGGTTTCCTATAACTGTTTGAGTTACCTTAACTTTTTGGCTTATATATATATATATATATGTACACTATCGGTCAAAATTTGGAGTCAGTTTCTTTCATGTTTTTTTTAAGTAATTCTGTTCATCAAGGCAGCATTTATTAAATGTAGAAAAATTGTTAAATATTTATCAAACATTTTAATAACTGCTTTCTTATCCTATTTAGTTTTAATAATAATAAATAATATTAAATAATAAATTTAATATTAATTAATAAATAATAATAATATTAAAAATAACAATAATAATTATTAATATCAAAGTGATTTCTGAAGGATCATGTGACTCTGAAGACTACTGAACTACTGACTACTGGAGTACTGAAGCTGAAAAATTATGTATAAAATCGCTGGAATACAATTTTTAATTAAATTATAAACTACTTTAAAACAGTTGTTTTATAGTGCAAAAAACATTTCACGATTTTACAATTTTGTTTACTGTATTTTTGATTAAATAAATGTGCCTTGGTGAGCAGGAGAAGCTTATTTTAAAACATTTTAAAATCCTACATTAGTCTATCTATTTTTTTATATATATATTATCCTACATTAGTTTATCTATCTATCTATCTATCTATCTATCTATCTATCTATCTATCTATCTATCTATCTATATATATATATATATATATATATATATATATATATATATATATATATATATATATATATATATATATATATATATTCCAAAAATCTGTTTATACGCCTTAATTCTTTGTTTTACAGTGCAACACTTTCCAGTATATCTCGACAGGTTGTTTTCTTAAAATAATGTACAGTAGGGAATCTGATACACGACGTGAAAGTACGTGTCCTCTCAGTACACTTTCCTGGTATTAACTGCACCAGAAAGCACAAACCCCGCGCGCGCGCGCTGATCCACTCAATCTGACGCAGGAGGAGGAGGAGGAGCGCGCTCGCCTTTAAATAGCCGCTGTCCATCCCCAAAACCTTCAGAGGCTCCGAAGCCACCAGCTTTATCATTCACCCAACAACACACACACACCCAAACAAACCATGATCAAGAAAATGAGTCCGTCGGAAAACGAGTTTGACATCCCGGCGAAAAACTGCTACCGGATGGTGATCCTCGGGTCCACCAAAGTCGGGAAGACGGCGATCGTGTCGCGCTTTCTGAACGGCCGCTTTGAGGAGCAGTACACGCCGACCATTGAGGACTTTCATAGGAAACTCTACAGCATTAAAGGAGATGTGTATCAGCTGGATATTTTGGATACTTCAGGGAACCATCCATTCCCAGCTATGCGGAGACTGTCCATTCTGACCGGTAAATATAGTTTCATACATTTAAGGGGAGTTTAGATGCAATAAAAGAGGTGTCATCTGCACTTTTCTTCAGTGATTTTTGGTTTAAGCAAAAATAATACGCTTTTTCCATTGCGTTTAAAGCGCAAAAGCTGGACGTAAACATATGATAGTCTCATTTAAGAAATAAATAATGCACTTGTAAAATTTTGCATCTGAAACTCTCCATATTTATACATGCATTGATAATAAACACATCAAACACTGACTGGATGCAAGATTTCTAACCATGCTCTTAAATGATTCTCCCCTACAGGTGATGTGTTTATCCTGGTGTTCAGTTTGGACAACCGCGAGTCCTTCCACGAGGTGCAGCGTCTGAAGCAGCAGATCTACGAGACCAAATCCTGCCTTAAAAACAAGACCAAAGAGAACGTGGACGTGCCTCTGGTGATCTGCGGGAACAAGGGCGACCGCGAGTTTTACCGAGAAGTTCAGCGCGACGAGATCGAGCAGCTGATCGCCGGAGACGAGCAATGCGCGTACTTCGAGATCTCCGCTAAAAGGAACACGAACGTGGATCAGATGTTCCAGAGACTCTTTACGCTCGCCAAACTGCCCAATGAGATGAGCCCTGATCTCCATCGCAAGGTGTCCGTGCAGTACTGTGACATCCTGCATAAAAAGTCGCTGAAGAACAAGAAGGTGAAAGACGGCGACGCGTACGGCATTGTCGCGCCTTTCGCGCGCCGCCCGAGCGTGCACAGTGACTTAATGTACATCAAAGAAAAAGCGATAGGAGGTGGACAGACTAAGGATAAAGAAAGGTGTATTATCAGCTAGAGTGAGCCATCTGAAGCCCCTTGCGGTCAGTATAGATGCACACGGTACACTTGCGGTGCCTGTATTGCGGTGACTCCAACAGGATCCAACGCGTCCTGAAGAAACAGTCATCGGCTTGAGCTCTCAGCCTCGTGGAAAAGCGCATGTTATGCTTGCGAGATCTCCTGTACAGAATAATACACACTTTGTTCTGTTCAGCCAGAGGCGCCTCTGTGATGATGATAATACTGTGGCTTATAAGAGTTATCGACTCCATGCTTAAAAATGTGCTTTGTTAAAACATCTGCCTTTTTGAGTGCTGAAGCGGAGAACGGGAGTTGACATGTCAGCTGTTTACATTTTTATTTGAGTAAATCAACTTGAATGTTTTAAATGCAGAACAATTTTATATTGTTGATGAATGTATATTTATTCTTCTATGTCACTGTTGAATTTAACTCTTGGTAAAAGAGAAATAAAAAAAAACATTTGTCAAGAATATGCACGCTTCCTCCTTACTTTTGCAGTGTGTTTGTGAACAGAAGATATCTGAAAATACCTTTGGGTTTTTGTTTTCTTTTGTATGTTTTGCACAAACTTAACTCCAGAAAAACGCATTGTGTATCTACACTGTAAACCCAAATAAGTAAGCAGAACCCAAAAAAAAGTATGTAACTTGTTGCCTTAAAATTTTTAAGTTCATGAACTTAAAAAAAAAAGTTTTCAAAACTTAAATAATTTGATTACATGCTACTTAAACCTTTTAATTACAGTTAAATTAAAACTTGTTATGAAATCAACTTAAATATTTTAAGTTATAGTAACTTAAAATTTTGCTTACCCATTCTCATAGCATTAAGTTACTTTACATTACTCAAAAAAATAAGTACATAAAGAACCACTTTCAAGTTGAATCCACTTAATATTTATCAGTATATTTGTTTTTGTTTTTTGTTTTAAGTTGACATTGACATTAACAAGTAAAATTATACTCCTAAGTGGTACTAACTTAAGAGCAAGTTGTTCCAGTTAATCAAAACTAATAAGTTTAATTTACTCAAAACCTATAAAAAGTCACACAAACTCAAACTATTTAAGTTAGTATAACTGTTTTAGAAAATTGAGTTTGTACTACTCAATCAATTTAATTATTTCGAGCACTTGGGTTTACAGTGCACTCAGAAATAAATGTACGCAAGCTGTCACTGGGGTGGTATCTTTTCAAAAGGTACAATTTTGATCCTAAAAGGTCCATATTAATACCTCAAGGGTACATATTAGTACCTTAAAGGTATAAAAGCGTTCCTGTACAATTTTTTAGGTACTAATATATACTTTTGAGGTAACAATATGGACCCTTTACAAATGTGTAGCACCCCAGTGACAGATTGCGTACCTTTATTTCTGAGAGTGTAGCATGCTTCGAGCATATTAAAAATGCAGGTTCGTGCAAATTAAAATATTTAATTTATTTGCTTTAAAACTTCAGTCATCCTAAATGCAAAACAGTGTTTATCTATAATGGCATGGCAAAACTTTAACTTAAAAACGTAATTTGAAACACTAAATCAATATCAGTTAATTAACAGTAAATATGAATTACATTCTGCTCTGTCGACTTTTGATGTTAATAATTTAATTGGGCGGTTAAACAAAAGTACATTGACATTTTAGTTGTTTTAGGTGATATATTGTATAATAATATCATTATTAGGCTTATAATAACAGAAAATATAATGCAAAATATATGAAATAATATTATTTTAGTGAAGTTAAGCAAAAAATATTCCATATACAGTTGCAATCAGAATAAATAGCCCCCGTTTATTTTTTTCCCGATTTCTGTTAAACGGAGAGATTTTGTCAGCACATTTCCAATCATAACAGTGTTTATAACTCATCTCTAATAACTGATTTATTTTATCTTTGTCATGATGACAGTAAATAATATTAGACTAGATATTCTTCAAGACACTTCTATACAGCTTAAAGTGACATTTAAAGGCTTCACTAGGGTAATTAGGTTAACTAGGCAGGTTAGGGTAATTAGGCAAGTTATTGTATGATGGTTTGTTCTGTAGAGCTACAAAATGTATAGCTTAAAGGGGTTAATAATTTTGACATTAAAATGGTTTTTAAAAAAATTAAAAACTGCTTTGATTCTAGCCGAAATAAAACAAATAAGACTTTCTCCAGAAGAACAAATATTATCAGACATACTGTGAACATTTCCTTGCTCTGTTAAACATCATTTTGGAAATATTTAAACAAGAAAAAAAAAATACAAAGAGGGGCGAATAATTCTGATTGCAACTGTGTGCTGAAAAAGCTAACAGAAAGTGTATCTGCACACATACAGTCATTTAATTTACCACAAGATAGTAATTCATCATATGTCTTGAAAGATGAAGGCCCAATATTTTCTCTAAAAGATGGTTTACATCTGTTTAACATCCATCTGCAAGCTTCCAACTAAATCAAGGTATATATACCAACAATACTACAGGTATATCCTTGCATATACTAAGCAAATATTTGTATAAACACAATTTTTTTTTTCCCATTACGGCATTAAAATAAAACCTCTTATTGTCTCTTAAACCAGTTTACTTTCAAGTGTAAATATTCTACTTACGTTTTAAATCTGACAATATAGGACGCACAAATTGCCTTTTGTTTGCGCACACACTTTTTTAGGTTAGTTGAAAATTACTTAAACTCTTAATGAGAACACTATATAGTTGCTTAACAGAATAAAATACATCTAAAGCAAAACAAATACATCATACTAATGCTTCAGCTCTGCAATAACACCTTCTCTCAAACTATTACGCATGAATATTCCAAAATGTATAACAAGAACTACGATTGTTGTGCACACAACCTGATGCCAAGAAAATGATCCACTAATATTGCTTGGAATTAAGCTCCAGTCTGTGTACATTAAAATACATGTTAGGCATCAGCTGAAACCCTAAATAAATATTCCAAATTAACCCTCGTCTTTTCTTTGACATTAAGCAAATCCTCTTGTATTTAAACTCACTCGTGCAGTTTAAAAATGACCAGATATTGCTTCAGTTCACCCCCCCCCCCCAAAAAAAAAATACTACAGCAATTTATAGTAAGTACTTTAGTGTGTTATGCACCATACTATAGTAAATAGGGTTTTAATCATTTGTATTCTTTGTTGTTTTTATTTAGTTTTACTTCTATTATTACAACACAATCACACAGCAATTTTATAACTTGTTGATTTAGTGGCTCATTCGTAAGAATTCGTACGATCTAATTCGTACAATTTAGCACGATTTGCTTATCACCCAATGACGGTTGGGGTTAGGGGTGGGGTTTGGTGCCACACCTCCTTTAAAATCATACATTGTCGTACGAATTCGCCACTAAACTGACAAAACGTAAAGAACTTATGTTTCCTCGTGAAATCAGGCTGATTATTATACTTATGTAAAGCACTTTGAATTACCATTGTGTATGAAAGGTTCTATATGAATAAACCTGCCTTGCCTAAAATAATTGAGTTAATCTGCTATGGGATTTCTATAGTTGCTATGTTAACACCACAACTACAGTAATACAAACTATTTATAGTAAGTACTTTAGTGTGTTATGCACCATAGTACACTCTCAGAAATAAAGGTACTGGGGCAGAAGGTGCATATTTGTACCTAAAGGGTCCATAACGGTACTTCTTAGGTACATTTGGGTACTAATATACACCTTTGAGATACCACTGTGGACTCTTTGAGTTCAAATATGCACCTTTTTTTTTTTGAGAGTGTATGGCAAAATAGGGTTTTAATCATTTGTATTCTTTGTTGTTTTTATTTTATTATAAATTATTATACTTGTTTATGTAAAGCACTTTGAATTACCAGTGTATGCAATGTACTTGAAAATAAACTTGCCTAAAATAATTCAATTAATCTGTTGTGGTATTTCTACTGTTGCTGTTTACACCACAACTACAGTAATACTAAAAACAATTGACCCAATGCTGTAGTTTTCTTCAACCATAGCTTATATTATACTGTAATACACCACAGCTTACTGAAATAAAAACTAAAGTGTGCTACATTATTTATAGGAGCTTATTAGTTTACTTTAGTTAATACCAAAGTATGCTGTAGCGTTCAGTAAGTGCTGTGAATACAATAATATGTATAGTATAATACATTAGGGTCGCACCAATGAACCCCCAGCCATGAGCGCACCACAAGTCATGTGACAAGAATTGACCAATCAGCTTCAGCTTGTATGGAATAGGGGGTCTCAGACAAAAAAAAAAAGGTTGGGAACCACTGGTATAATACATTTGACTAAGTATGCCTGAAAAACACTATGAAAATGCAACTAACAACCTCTATTTAAAAGGTGCTTTAATTAATTTAATGCACAAAGCAAAAGTCCGAATGTGATGTCCAAAGTAAAAGTGAATGATATTTACAAAAAAGGTTTACTTTTGTATCTTTAAGATGCACATTTGCACTTTTTAGTTATTAATATGTACCTTTAGAGACAAAAATGCCACATTGACAGATTATTTCTGACAGTGTAGTATGCTTCAAAAACACTAGTATTTTTTTTCATGTGTTAAATGCAACTGAACTTTTATCAAATATGTGGTTTTATAAATTTAATGCACAAATGTAAAGTATACAAAAAGCACACACTGATTTGAATACTGTCCAAAGAAAAAGCAAATGATATGTACAAAACAAATCCATGCAGCAGATGTGAGTGAGTGAGTGTCGCCCCCGTTGGTGAGAGAGTGTCATGACATTAAACTCTGCCGGTTCATGCTGGACATCAGGATGGTTTAGGGATGTCAAACATGCACAGGCTCTTGTATTTCTGCAGGAGCTGGTTCTTGGTCTGGACCTGTTCTCGGAGCGTTTGCAGTTTGCTCTCCTGCACCGCTGGACTCATGTCGATGCCTGGCATGCTGGAGATCTGCTCGCGGGCCTCCTGGATCTTCGTCTTCAGCTTGTTGAGCTCCTGATGGACGTCTGGACTGTCTTTATCCATGCTGTGAACAGGTGAACACAACAGATTGGCTGTTAATGAGAGCGGGGCTAAAGTAGGGCTGCATACACTAAAAAAGATTTGAAAAATGAGCAGTTTTGATTATTTTGCGATTAGTTTTTTTTTTATTTTCCTAATTTATTTCTGCTTTTGAATTGCATTAGGGATCTTAATCTTTCTTCAAACAATTTTTAACCTTGAAAAGTTGTAAAAAGTGACTATCATGAACTCTTTTATTAGTTTGCAGCCCAATATAGTCTGTGTTGGTGTTGTATATTACGGTACAAACACCTTGTAATAAACTGCAGCACATTTTCTGCTATTTTACAGACTTATTTCTCTACATATTATTTCTTATGCATTATTTCAAACTACTAAAATGTCAACTAAAGTCACGTTGTTAAATTGTAGAGTTGAATTTTCAACATCAAAAGTCCACAGAGCAGAGGTCAACATCCCATAATGCAATACACAACCGTAAATAAACCCAAAACTACCATGAAAATGAATTTAAACAGGGCAAAATTGCGGTAAAGTTGGATTTATAATCAACTTCCCTTCATTTTTGGACAAACTCACCATCTATGAATATTCCAGGGGGGTCAAACTCTGCATCCCTGCACAGTTAAGTTCCAACACACTTACCTGCAGGTTTCAAAAAAGCCTGAAGCACATAATTAATCAGGTCAGGTGTGTTTAATTAGGGGTAAAGCTAAACTGAGCAGAGCTGCAGCCAGCGTCTGACACCTGTGGAATGTTCGCTCTCAAACGGCATGTGAGTATTACTTAAAAGCAACATTAGAACTAATTGACTGACTGTGAACAATGTTGTACTTTGATAGTCATTGGGTGCTGATATGATTTCACCGTTTACAATTTGCAAACAAAACTTGTATTATTAGGGAGAATGTCTGAATATGAAACCAACCTTAGCCACATCTAATGAAAGTGTTATAACGTATATGTTTCATTACAGTGGCACTTGAAAAGAAACACACAACTTGTAACAGAAAAAGTAACATTACTACAATGATTTACTTAATGCATTGTAATGTTAACTAGCTGCACATTGAGGTGAAGCTGGTTTTATATTCGCACATTGGTTCAGTGACATGCATCCTTTATTGTTTACCATGGTACTTTGAATATTCTGGCTTAAGTAAAACAACATTAGCACTATTTAACTGACTGTGAACAATGTTTGATAGTCACTGGCTGCTAATATGATTTCACTGTTTACAATTTGCAAAGAATACTTTTCTGAAATTAAATTATGGAGAATTTCTGTATATAAAACCAATCTTACGCCAATCTTAAACGTGTTTTAGCATTAAATAACCTGTATATACATCATAACTGTGACATAAAAACACAACTTGTGACAGGAAAGGTAATGTTAAGTTACCCCTACAGTGATTTACTTTCTGCATTATAACGTTAACGTTACCTGACGGCTGTAAAAGCGATTAAATCGCGTGATATCGTGACATTACATGCTGAATGTGCGTATATATGTTAGAAATCAAATGTTTTCATGACTCAAATTCGCTTTGTTGCTTTCGTCCCCGAGCGAATCAGCTGTTGTTTACATATATCCAATGCGACCACTGACGAGACTCTGAAATATCCGTATATTTGCTTAAATCGGCGTCTTGATGTACGCATGCATTGGAATCAGGCATGAGATAAACAAATATTAAGTTCTCACCATTTTATGACGTCGTGAATAATTGGCAAAAAGGAATAATCTTCAGCCTCCTCCACCACCGGTACGGCAGCCGCCATGTTTTCACGGAGAACCTCACGTCATCAACGCGCGTCTGCGTCACTATATTAACGACGTCACGATAGAAGTGTATTAATAATATTTATATCTAAATTTCGGTGTCTTTTGTAACTCAAGTATTAAATCGACTCATCATCAAATGCCCCAAATGTTAAAGTGTCTTGGTTTGACTTATCTGGCTTATCTTATCGGACTTTACATCGAAATGTAAGATTAATATTGATTTGTTTGTCATCTATAGCTAAGTGTATGTATTTATGTATGGCTATGTCATATTTGTATGTCTATGTCATTTGTTATTTTTCTCACGACGAACACAACAGAATATATATAGGCAATTTGTTTATTTTAATGGGTACATATTGTATTCACAAATGTAAATTTTCTCCATCCTTGTCTAATTTGCTATTTTTATTTTTACTTTAATTACTGCATTACAAATTTTTTACAGTTAACTTTGTTAAACTTTATTAAGACTTAAATATGATGTAGTTTTGCCTCTGTAATTTGTTTTAAAATATTATATTTAATTATTAATTCATTTTCTTTTTGGCTTAGTCTCTTTATTAATCTGGGGTCACCACAGCGGAATGAACCGCCAACTTATCCAGCATGTGTTTTTAACAGGCGACTCAGTGGCGCAGTTGGTAGTACTATTGCCTCACAGCAAGAAGGTCGCTGGTTCAAGCCTCGGCTGGGTCAGCTGGTGTTTCTGTGTGGAGTTTGCATGTTCTCTCTGCGTTCGTGTGGGTTTCCTCCGGGTGCTCCCTCTACAGTCCAAACACATGTGGTACAGGTGAACTGGGTAGGCTAAATTGTTTGTAGTGTATGAGTGTGAATGAGTGTGCATGGAAGTTTCCCAGTGATGGGTTGCAGCTGGAAGGGCATACGTTGCGTAAAAATGTGCTGGATAAGTTGGCGGTTCATTCCGCTGTGGTGACCCCAGATTAAGAAAGAGACTAAGCTGAAAAGAAAATGAATGAATGAATGAATGTTTTACACAGCGGATGCCCTTCCAGCTGCAACCTAACGCTGGGAAACACCCATAGACACTCATTAACACACATACACTACAGACTGTTTAGCCTACCTATTTCACCTGTACCACATGTGTTTGGACTGTGGTGGAAACCGGAGCACCCTGAGGAAACCCACGCCAACATGGGGAGAACATGCAAACTCCACAGAGAAATGCTAACTGACCCAGCCGAGACTCGAACCAGCAACCTTCTTAATGTGAGGCAACAGCTACTGTGCCACTGCGTCGTGTGATTGGCTGGTTAGAAATGTGCGTTAACAAGCAGTTGGACAGGTGTACCTAATACTTTTAAATGTAAATATAAATCCAGCTCATCCTTCCAGTCCAACAATCCTCCTCTGACATTTTACATCTTGCTAATTATTAACCTCAGACTCAGAAATATTCAGCACATGATTGATTATGAGAAAATGTTCATGAAACTAAGCAAATCAACTGCACACAGCCTCCATTGTGTGTCCAGCAGCGTTACTGGCTATAGATTTGAACAGACCTCACTCTTTATTTCATCATAATAATGTTTTTGTTGTGGTTTTAATAATTCTCCTTCTTCATGCTGATCTTTATTCAACTTTCCAGGAAACCTCATAACTATTAAATGCACTGATGAATGTTTGTTTTTGCCCGCTGTTTGCCCGCCGTTACCCTCTGCCCTTTGTCCTTTTGTAATTCCTGAACTACATTCCTGTACATTTAGAAATATGTGCTTTATTTGTAATATTGATTTTCATAATCTGTGTCCTAGATATGTATTTTATGAAAGCTAAAGTTCACTCGAAATGAGTTTACTCGTTTCTGTTTTTTTTTATTTAAATATTTATTTGATTTTATTATTTTTTGATTTTATTTATTTTTTAATTTATTTTATTGTTTTTCATTTTATTTATTTATTTTAATTAAAAAATTTACTTTTATTTATTTGTTTTTATTTTATTAATTTTATTGTTTATTGTATTTATTTATATTTTATTGTTTATTATTTTATTATATTTTTTATTGTTTGTTATATTTTTTATTTGATTTTTGTTATTTTTCATTTTTATTTTATTGTTTTATTTTTACTTTATTTATTATTTTATTATATTATTATTTTTTTATTTTATTGTTTATTATATTATTTTTTATTTTATTAATCATTTTTATTTTATTGTTTATTATTTTATTATATTTTATTTTTGAATTTTTTTTATTAAATAGTTTTTTTTATGTGCATGTATTGTACTGTGTGTGTGTGTGTGTGTGTATCTCTGCAGTGTAGTGTGTGTGTGTGTGTGTTTGCATGCGTGCATATGAGTGTATTATACAGTATGTCTGTGGGTGTGTGTATATGTCTGTGTGTATGATGAGTATTTTTGTAAGGTGTGCTTTGTGTGTGTGTGTGTGTGTGCATCCTGTCAGCTGGATTGTTCTGAACTGAAGATCAGTGAAGCTCGTGCTCCATCAGTTATTACTCATTAACGAAACACACACACACACACAAACACACACATGGGCTCTTCATTAACAGGATGTTTTGATGGAAGCGGACTGTTTGCCAATCGTGTTTCCTCATTGCTGATCCAGTCAGACACTCAATAATCAATACTGTTCTCTGTTTGCTTCTGAACAGATGAAGTCATGTGTCGATGATCAAGTCCTGTCTGTCATCATACACACATCATATGGCTGAAGTGTGTAGACCTGCTGTAGTGTGTTCCAGCTCAAAACAACAGCTTACCTCTGCTCTTAGAAGATATCACATATTCAGGGTTCTCGTTATTCTGATTAATACTAATAATATATTAATGTAGTGTGGGCGGCGTGATGGCGCAGTGGGTAGCACTGTCGCCTTACAGCAAGAAAGTCACTGGTTCAAGTCCCGCCTGGGTCAGTTGGTGTTTCTGTGTGGAGTTTGCATGTTCTCCCCGTGTTGGTGGGGGTTTCCTCCGGGTGCTCCGGTTTCCCCCACAGCCCAAACACATGCACTATAGGGAAATTGATCAACTAAACAGGCCGTAGTGTATGAGTGTGTATGGGTGTTTCCCAGCACTGGGTTGCAGCTGAAAGGGCATCTACTTTGTAAAGCATATGCTGGAGGAATTGGCGGTTCATTCCGCTGTGGTGACCCCTGATGAATAACCCAGCATTTTTCATGCACACATACACGCATGGCAGACACATCATGCACATACACACACAAGCAATCAGACACAAACATGCTCTACACACACACACAAACACACACAGTAAAATGCCAGGTTATTTCAACCCAAAAGTTGGGTAAAATATGGACTAACCTTTACGAAGCAGTGGCGCAGTAGGTAGTGCTGTCAACTCACAGAAAGAAGGTCGCTAGTTCGAGCCTTGGCTCAGTTAGCGTTTCTGTGTGGAGTTTGCATGTTCTCCCTGCGTTCGCGTGGGTTTCCTCCGGGTGCTCCGGTTTCCCCCACAGTCCAAACACATGTGGTACAGGTGAATTGGGTAGGCTAAATTGTCTGTAGTGTGTGTGTGTGTGTGTGTGGATGTTTCCCAGAGATGGGTTGCAGCTGGAAGGGCATCTGCTGTGTCAACTTGGTGGATAAGTTGGCGGTTCATTCCGCTGTGGCGACCACTGATTAATAAAGAGACTAAGCCGACAAGAAAATGAATGAATGAATGAATGAATGGACTAACCCAAACACTGGGTTAATTTTGGTCTTAATAATTTAATTAAAAATAAAATAACCCAGCACTTGCATTAGTCCCTATTACACCCAGAATTAGACTGAAATAACCCACTATTTTTAGTGCACACATACACACACGGCAGACACATCATACACATACACACACACACACGAGCAATCAGACACAAACATACTCTATATATATATACACACACACACACACACATAGTAAAAATGCCAGGTTATTTCAACCCAAAAATTGGGTAAAATATGGACTAACCCAAACACTTGGTTAATTTTGGTCTTATTCATTTAACTTAAAAAAATAAAAATAAAAATATCCCAGCAGTTGGGTTAGTCCTTATTACACCCATAATTGTACTGAAATAACCCAGCATTTCTTAGGGCACGCATACACACACACAGCAGACACATCATGCACATACGCAGGTTATTTCAACCCAAAAGTTGGGTAAAATATGGACTAACCCAAACACTGGGTTAATTTTGGTCCTATTAATTTAATTAAAAAAAATAACCCAGCACTTGCATTAGTCCCTATTACACTCAGAATTAGACTAAAACGACCCAGCATTTTTAATGTATATAAATATGTATTATTTCAGCTACGAAACAATAAATAATACATTTTAAAGACATTTTAGTGTTTTTTTTAAGCAATGTGAAAGTGTAAAATACATGTCTTCACACTGCACGCTTCTTTTTCAAACAGCATGTTAACACTTGTTGATGTTTTTTTATGAATAAGAAGGAGAGGCTAAATGATTCCTTCATGGTAATTACCATAATGCAACTAGTACTGTTGATTTGAACTTAGTGACGGCAGAAGTGTTTGAAGCTATACAGCAAGTGTCTCTGTACAGTGATGTGGATCAAGTTTAGCCTTGTGTCCTTCGAAGGAGTGTCAATAAGATGAAAAGGTGAAGAAACAGAGTGTACTGTCCTGATACTGTCCTTCAGTTCACATTACCACATCACAGAGCAGGGCGAGACTTTAGAAAACCACCCAGCATGAGAAATCCACAGGAACACTTTCCAGTCCGCGGGAACACTGCAGACTTTTAGCAAAGAATGTTGTTTATTGGAAAATTACTTGTGCAATATGAGCGGCGCTTTAAGCGTATTAATAATTCAGTGGAATGAGCGAGCTGTGCATTGCCAGGAGTCAATATAAGACCCCACGTGTGTGCTAATCTCGCCAATTAATGTGTAGTTATTAGTCTGAATGTGGGTCGGGTCATCATATCAGTGAGGGAACATTGTGTGCGGAGTCACTATATGGTTTATTTTACAACACAGGCTCATTGGAAATGCATGCTCCAGCCTACATTTGTTTTGTGAATCCATAAAAATGTACTTCTGCACATTTAACTGCAGTTGTTGGGTGAAATGAACACTACTATGCAGTATGACGCTAATAATTTCTGTTCC